TACAGTTTAGTCTTTTACTAGATTTTTGACCCACAGCGTGGATAAAATATATCAAATCATTGAAAAAAATTATTTTAGTTTAATAATCTGTTTTATGGTATAAAAAATTATATTTTTTTAATCAAAAAATTTATATTTAACTATTTTTTTTTATGTTTTTAAATTTTAGAAATAAATAATAAATGAAATAAATTATTGGTTTCTTTAAAAATCTAACACCCAATTAATTTCAGCTTAATAATCTGTTTATGGTAAAAAATAATTATAATTTTTTAATAAAAAAATTTGTATTTAACTATTTTTTATTTATGTTTTTAAATTTTAGAAATAAATAATAAATGAAATAAATTATTTGTTTCTTTAAAATTTAAACACCCAATTAATTTTTGATTCCTTTAAAATTTTCAATATTATTAAGAAACAGAAATTAAAAAAAAAACGTTCAATTTTTAGGGAAAAAAAATGAGGGGTAGCGTTTACTATTCATGTGAACAATAAACGGATGGAAATTAAAAAAAAATTCAATGTTTAGAAAGAAAAGGGAGGGGGAGTCGTTTATCTGTTCATATGAACAAGTAAATGAAAAAAAAGAAGAGAGGAAGAAGTGGCAACGATAGGGGTGTTCATTTGGTAATTCAGTTTGGTTTCGAACTTTTTCGACCTATTTTCGGTTAACCGAATTGTTTAAAAAACAACCGAAAACGAACCGAATTATTATTCAGTTTTTCAATTCGATTTTGAAATATATTGATTTTTTTATTCGATAATTTAGTTTTCACTCGTAATTATCTATGCTTTTGATTTTTGAAAGGATCATGCACTTTCGAAAAAATAAATTTAGTATTTGTATTACGATTTTTAGGCTATGTTCCTATATGTATATGTTTTTTAATCTTATTGAACTCTCGTCTATTTACTATTATTTTACTACTCCTCAATAGTCATTACTAATATAATATCAATTGATATATATATATATATAACAAGATGTCATCATTACCATATAAAGTCTAATAACATATATTATATGTTATTGTCTATCGATATCGTAGATAATACCGTCAAATATGTGTTACAATTAAGACATTTTAACAATTCCTTTTAAAAAGAAACAGAGCATGCTTTGAAGCTTAAATATAATCGACTTATTTGTCTTTATGAAAGACACTTTTAATTAACTTGACGTAATTAGAACTAATAATTTTGGGTAACTTGTTAAACACTACAACCATAAAGCTAACATTTGCTAATTAAATGGCAATGTTGTTTTTGAACAATGAAGAACATTAAAACTTTAAACACTCAACTTTCTTTAGCGCAATTTTAAATTATATATATTTACTAAAAAAAGACATACTAATTATTAGCAAGGTCTATAAATTAACTAGTTTTCTTTCACATAGAAAAAAATACTATCTCACATCTTTTTTAAAAAAACTATAAATTAAATCAAGAGAGAAATTATGTACTTCCTTGGGCAATTATAAACAAGAATTGGTTATGGTCATTTAGCGTTAGGCCAGCTTGGCTCATGTAATCCATGCAACAAGAAGTGGCTATGACCTAATTGATTTAACTCCAATTAGCTTAGGTTTGCATGAGGGTGAGGTGAGTGTGTGAGAATTGAAATGAACAACGTTGTTCACCGATGAATTTTAAAAAAAAATTTAATAATTTCAGTTATTCGGTTTTAACCGAATTAAAAAAAAAACTGAAATCGAAAATCGACTATATTTCGGTTCTGTTTTTTTTAAGTTTCTATTAAGAAAACCGCACCGAAATTGATATTTCGGTGTGGTTCGTTCAGTTATTCGGTTTTGAGCGAATAGTGAACACTCCTAGCAGCGCGCTAGCAAAAAAATGAAATTCTGAAAAAAAAAAAAAAAAACCAAAACACTGTAGTAATGAACAGTGATAATCACTGTTCATTGCTATAATAAAAAGCTATTTTACTTTAGTTTATAGGATAATAATAATTTCTTGTATATATATTCTGCTATGAACAGAGGCACCTAGCAGCCCATCAAGTAGCTGGTGGTGATGTGGGCCGGAATTGGACAAGCCCAGTGGACTGCTCTTGTACCCGGCCGGTTCTTGAGGACCCTTTCCTTTTTATGTTGATAAAATAAAATCATAACCTACTTTCTCTCTCTCTCTGTTTTTTTTTTTTGGATAAAATTATTATTGTGCGGGACTGTGCATAAAAAAGTCGGGTTCATTTTCTTATTTATTTATGTATTTATTTATTTTAAAATTCTAATTGCACACGTAAACTTTTAATTCATGTACTTCTATGACAAAAAAGTTAATACCATCAATTTTCCTTATATAATAAGCAAACTTTCCAATAACGTCTAATCTGCCTTTATATATTCAACTAGTTTTTAAACTATCATTTTAATAAAATTTCTAACTAAATTAAGTCAAATTAAGCATATGATTTGCACATAGTATATGATTTGATAAAATTATTTCGTTATTTAACACATGTAATCTATATCTACTAATATGAAAATTAATTTCTGAAAATTTTTACAAAAATTTTGATTAAAAGATTAGATTAGAAACAACTTCAAAATATAAAAATAGATTGAAAGCATTTTTTTTTAAGACATTTTAGAAAATTAGTTTATTATATAAGAACAGATAAGTATATTAACTCTAGAAAAAATAATAATCTATGCACACACTAATAATTTACTATCCACAGCCTAAAATTATAATTTTTTATGGAAAATAAGCATCATTTTCCCCTTTCTTTTTTCTTATTTGAAAAGAGTTTCAAATCCCTCTTTCTAATATGCATGTGCAGTAAGTTATAAATGGATAAATTCATGTTATTCTATTTATACTTCCGTACTACATGAATTTTATTTAAATAGGAAGGACTATCTTATACTTTTTTTTCTTTTTATATTTAAATATATATTTAAGTCAATTTGTGTATCAACAGATTTTTTTTTTTTTTTTTTAAAGAAAACTTGACCATCTAAAATTTAAACTAAAAATGATAAGACAAGAAGGAGGTTTTTTTCATGGTGCATTTAAAGGAAATTGTTTGTTGTTTTGTTTTTTTTTTTCACTTGGATTATTCACATTTTATGAAGGTTGTGGTTATAATAACCATTGCCAAGAGGTAGATTAGTTGGATGCACCACATTCTTCAGAAGTTCCTTCTTGATTAACTGGGCAAGTAAAGGAGGAATAACTCTCTCTCTCTCTCTCTCTCTCTCTCTCTCTTCCCACTCTAACCCTTCTTTCCTCCCAACTAACCAAAACATCTTATTTCCATTTCAACAAGGAACCTCGCATCTTATTTTTTTCCATGGCTTACCATCCCTCGTTTGCATTTAATAATTTGGTTGTTACGTACATCAATGAAAAAACATAAATATTAATTAATATATTATAGATGCTAGCTAATTTAATTTGATAAAATCATTTAAAAAATGACAATAAGTTGTTAATGAAGTAAAAAAGCTATTATCCTGACGCCTTGCACCTTGAGCTAGCCCTGTTCCTGGATTTATATCGTTAATGAAGTGGGTTAGCAGAGTTCCCCTCTAAACTTTGCATGCCAACCGCACCATTCTTTTGGTCGTTTGGTAGATTAGGCTTTTCTGCTCCCTCCACCGACTGCTCTCGTCTCTCAGTCTCATTAGTTAATGGTTGGCTGGTTGCAGAGATCTTTACTCTTATTTTTATTTTTATCTTGTTTTTTATTTTTTATTTTTTTGCCTTTAAGTTCATTGTTCTACATTTGGTTTATGTTTTAATTTCGTTCTTATGTTAATTTTTAGACTAATGACGTCAATTTTTTTTTCTTGTCTTAATTTCATCTTTTTATTCTATTTTTCCTTCTTACTTTTTTTTTTACTGAATTTAAATAAATAAATTTTGAAAAAAAAAACTTGAAAAAAAAAGAAGCAAAGATATATTTAGTCATTTTCACTAAAACTTATATATATAAAAAAGTGAAGATAAAAATATTTTTTTTATCCAAAATATGTTTTATGGGTTTAAATTTGTCTGTATAATAATAATAATAATCAAATTTTGAATATAAAATGAAATATGTATTGGTTTTTTTTTTAAATGTAACTTTATGATAGTAAGTAAATTTTGGGTATAAAATAAAATTATATATATATATTTTAAATGTAAAGAGAGTTTTAATTGAATTTTTAAAATTAAGAAATTTATAAAATCAAAATAAGTAATTTATAGTACTCTTTTAGCTACTATAAATTTATAAATATTATTCAAAAGTTTAAAAATGAACTAAAACTCTCTTTATATTTAAATATTATAAATATTTTGTTTTATACATAAATTGATTTTACTATCATAGAGAGAAATTTAAACTCATAAATGATCTTTTGAATAAAAAAACACATTTAGCTTCACATTTTGTTTTAATTTCAACTTTTAGAGGGACGAGGGATACATTTTCACATTTTTTTCAATTTTTTATATTTTTTAAAATTTATTTATTAAAATTTGTAAAAGAATGAGATTAAGATAGAAAAAAAGAAGCTAAAGCTTTTAATTCAAAAGTTAATAAAAAGATGAAATTAAGACAAAAACCAAACGTAATAAATAAATTTAAAATGAAAAGAAATTAAAAAAAAACACAACATAAAGACGAAAGAGAAAGAATAGATGGATCTCTACACTTCGAAGTATCTCAAATACAAAACATTGGGCCAATAATGATGGGCTGCCCATTATGTATTGATTAACGATGGCCTCCTTGCATTAAACTCAAAAGATAGAAACTTCCCGACCTTTTCCTGTTCTGTACAGGAAAGAAACTCACGTATCCAAGCCGGAAAGGGATGAGCTAGCCGACTTTGATGTCGTGTCCATATATATATATTGTCTTTAGGAAGTTCTAGCCCAGCAAGTTCCAAAATTATAGCAATCGCAAGAAGTCTCTGTTCTCTAAGAAATCAGAATCTCTTTAGTTCTTCAAGAAGCTAACAATAACATCAAGAAAGATGGCTTCGACAGACAGCTCAACTCCTCCTTTGTGTGCTAAGGGTTGCGGGTTCTTTGGCTCTCCAGAGAACAAAAATCTGTGTTCAAAGTGTTACAAAGATTACCTCAAAGAAGAGGTGAAACTTTCTGAACTTGTCATCACCCCATCAGCTCATGATAAGAACCCAGCTGTTGTTTCTGATGAAAGGACGTCAACAACTAATCCTACTGCTTCGAGTTCGACAAGGAAGACAAGATGCGAGAACTGCAACAAGAAAGTTGGCTTGACGGGGTTCAATTGCCGATGTGGGAAGATCTTTTGTGGGATGCATAGACATGCTGAAGAACACTCGTGCACGTTCGATTTCAAGACTCTTGGTCGACAAGGTTTGGCTAAGCAAAATCCACTTGTCGTTGCTGATAAACTTGGTTCTAGAGTTTGAAGGATCCATCATAGGAGTTCTTGAATCTGTCTTCTTTATGAACGCAAGAAGGTTATATTTATAGTTTGTATCGCATTTCTTTTTTTATTTTAAAAATAAAAGTTTCGAATTGGTATTATCTTCTATATAATTTATAATTTACAGTTTATACTCACTGTAGTAAGAACGACAATCAATTTTCTATTAAGCAATTCTTTAAAAAAAAAAAAAAAAAGCCAAAAAGAAGAGAATAAACCAACATGAAGTAAATTAGTCTCTCTAATTTTAATAAATGAATTAATAAGTCAATTTTCGACAATATAACGTCTGAATCATGATCGATAACATTATAATAAAAAAAATTGAATTTTTTAATCACTCAATAAAAAAAAAATACAAAAATACAAAATCTAAATACCAAAAAAACTCAACTCAAAATCTAAATTTTTAAGATTGAGAATAATTTTTTATTTTTTTAACAAACAACGTACTTAATTTAAGTAATTAAATAATCCTCTTGTAGGAATGAAAACTATAAGAGCTAAATGCGGAAAAAACTCAATTCAAAATCTAATTTTTTGAGAAAATTAATTTTTTTTAACAAGCAACATACATAATTTAAGTAACCAAATAATCGTCCTAATGAAAAAGGTGCACTTGCTAATTGCCAGATGGCCATAATTCCCTCTTCTCTCTCCCAAGCACAAAGCCAACATTTTCTTCGGAAAAAGGACATGATTGTACTCCAACTCATACATGTTTCTCAACTAGGTCTCCAAACAAAATAAATTCCAAATTGAATCCCTCATATATGGAAACATTATCCAATTAACCTCACCATTACAATTTATGATGAAAAAGACATCTTTGAGACTACTAGGTTCTCTATCTTTTTTTGTTTTTTTTTTCTCTCTATGTTGTGAGAGAAAAAGATTTTAAGACAAGGGTTAATTAGGTAATCTCCAATAGAAAAGGGACCCAATTGATAATTTTTGTTCTTTTGGGATCCAATTGAGAATTGGGTGTTAGTTGGAAATAATATGTCCTGGAATTATCTTTTTTGTATTTAAGGGTATTTGCTTATGCATTTAAAAATTTGTTCCGTCAACGATGGGCTGCCCATTATGCATAAGTCAAGATCCCCTCCTTGCATTTAACTCAAAACGTAGAAACTTCCCCATCTCTTCCTGTTCTTCTGCAAAGGAAGTAAACGCGTAGATCCAAGTCGGGTATGGATTTGCCAACCGACTTTGTTTTGTATGTCCATATATTCCAAAATTGAAGTGATATCGAAGTCAAGAAATCAGAATCTCTTTAGTTCTTCAAGAAGCTAACAATAACATCAAGAAAGATGATCTCGAGAAACAGCTCTAGTCCTTCTTTGTGTGCTAAGGGTTGCGGCTTCTTTGGCTCTCCAGAGAACAAAAATCTGTGTTCAAAGTGTTACAAAGACTATCTTAAAGAAAAAGTAATTGCTAAGACTGCCAAGGAACTCTCTGAACTTGTCATCACTTCCCCATCAGCTCATGATAAGAGCCCAGTTCTTGTTTCTGAGGAAACAGTTTCAACCACTACCACCGCTGCATCGGCTTCAACTGTGAAGAATCTGATGTAGTCTTTGAATTTCCGAATTAATTAATCTTCATAGTCTGTATAAATATAATAAAAATTTTATTTTTTGATCTTGTGAGCAAAGCAAACACAATATTTTTTGTTCTTTTACATATTGGATGATCTAATGTGGGCTAACTGGACTTGTCTTTTTATGAACTTCACATTCTCTCCAGTAATTGAGAGAACTGCTTAAATGGGCCATAACCCATAAGCACTGTCAAGAGTCTAGCTCTTCGTCCAGGTGCTACCATGTGTGTGTTCTGGCAAGTTCTTGCTCAATTTCATTGGTTTCTGACCTATGATTTATGGTATCATCCTGTTCAGGATCAATCCATCTCATCTTTGCACATGTTTTGGCAAACATTGTAAAAGTACCCCAGCATTGTTCGATGTACCTACCTGGCTTATCTTGGATGGACTAGGTTGCAAAGATTTTTAAGTGAAGAACAAGTATGGGGTTGGGTCCATTGTGCCACTAGAGGCTTAAGGGCTCCAGGCTCAACTAGCTTTGGACCACATCACATTGTCCTTGGATCTGGTCCACCATATGGGCCTAGGGTTTCCAAGATTAGTATCATACAATTTCCCTGGTTAGGAAATAAATGATGTCTATCTTATGTATGATCTCTTGTTGTTTTGAAAAGAGACACATTACATCTTTAGAATTTGATTAACCAAAAGGCAAAGCATTTAATGAATATAAAACGTGAAAATAACATATGAGGTGGGGCAAGAGGACAATAAGATGGGCAAGCCTCTCATTGCTTTTAAGTACCTTTAGATGGAGTATTAGAAACCAAAATTGAATATTGAAGGAGATCAAGGACGGTCATAAGGGCCCTAAAGGGGAACAAAAGTGACAAAGGTGGGAGCATTTACGAGAAACTTGAGTCCTAATAAGGCATCAGTGAAGTTATGAGCTGTAAGTGCAAATTGAAAATTGTAAACAAATATGGAATAAAAAAGATATGAAACAAAGTGGATTGCGAGGATGGGATCGGTCGACCTTGTTTTAATTCGTGTAGGATATGCTTAAAAATCAACTAGTAGTCCTAGTAATTAATGCCCATGCTTGCCAAGACACCAAGCCACAACATCCAATCCTATATATCCTTATTCATGACACAAAACTTTTGGAATTTTTGTTATATTATTTTTGTTAACGGGTGTGCTTATTCAAAAGATTTATGATTTAACAAAAGGGTTGATTTGAATGAAATAAGCTCTAATTAAATAAGTAATTTTGGATTTGAATCATTATGCATACATAAAACTTTTTGAATAGTTGTATCCGTCTTATGCGTTTGACCGAACAACGAGGGATTAACAAATAATTTTGAATTCAAATCTTTATGTATACGTAAAACTCTTTAATAATTTTACCTGTTTTGTTCATCCGACTAAACAATGAAGGATTAATCCGAACTTTTAAACCTAAGACGTCTTGGGAATCCAAAAACAAAAAAAAGATTGATGGTCTAACAAATTCTAAAAACCCATTATTATTAGTTACATTTAGATCATAGCTTCTTCCATATCTTGGTTTTAAAAATAATTAATATTTGGTTGCAATGTTTTATAATTAAAGTAAAAATAAAATAAAATAACATTTTATCTCTTCACATGCATAGCCGGAATTAGTGTCTAATCTCTAGGGTTTAGTCTCTTAATTCATCATTGATAAATTAGTGGGACAGTATTGAAAAGATTCCACTATGATAAAGATTAAACAACTAGCTAGCTAGCTAGCTAGTGTGATCACAAATCTAAGGTTCCCTTGAAGGGCCCAGTGATATTAGCTATCCAACTGCTGCCTTGTGTAAGTTAGTCTATGACTTTATATCAGAAAGTATTTATCAGTTGGAAATTGATGAAAATTTTGTACATAATTAACTAACCACAACATAAATTATTTCGAAACAGAATCTTGATTCAATTATTCTACCAATTAATCAATTAATGGGAAATCAAAGGAATATCTCCACATGAAATTTCATATGATCAAATCATTGAAAGCCAATAAAGCATGCATTGTTTGAAATATTACTCAAATCATCAAATCATGTACATACATATATATTTATATATATCTATATTTAACTTAACATATACAGATCAGGGTTAGAAGGAAATTAAACAAACCCTCGAAGATCTGAAACTCAGTTCAATCTAAGATCAAAACCATGATAAACTTTAGATTGAAAACAAAACTAAAACCAAAAAAGAAAAAAGAGAAAAAGAAACCATCTTCCTAGCTGGAATTCTGAGGATTCAAGAATCCATTGAAGTTGGCACATTCAAACAAGGCCTTGGCAGTCATCTCCCTTTCAAACCTCCAGATATAATTCAAACCCACCAAAAGTTCTGTAATGGCAGCTTCAGTCTTCTCTTTGTTGGCGAAAAACAATGTCTGCAAAAGAAGAACATTGGTTTTTGGCATCAAATTTTGCTGCTCAAAGCTCCTTTCACTTTGCCATTTGATCATATTATGTGCTAATGGTGATAACCACCCCAATATCCTCCCTAAAGCATCCCTCCATTCTGCTGCAAGAACTGGATCACTCGCCGAAAACCCTACTCCTTTCAGTCTAGCCCTTAGTGAAGACCTTATACTGTTTGGTAACATTGCGTAAAGATCATCTCTTGCATCCACACCAACAAGTTGTGGTGACTTGATCATCTTTTCCATAACGATAATCAAATTTGCATAGTGTAGGGCTAAAGCGGCGGCGCCAAGCGTAGTTGCCGGTGGCTTTAGAAGCTTTGAATTCGACTCGAAAAACCCATTACTGAAATCCTTATTTCCTTCAAGTTTTGAGCTCTTCAATGGTCCTGACACAAAGTTACAAGTAGTAGGGTTTTCAGATGGATGCACTGTCGCAGAAGCTGAGAGACTGCGAGGTAGAGAAGTTGGATAGCCATGCGCTATGCCAAAAACCAACTTGATCCTTGCTAAAATAGTGAAAATGCACTTAGCAAGAATCAAAACTGCAGTATCAAAGCTTCTATTCCAAAGAGATCTCTCTTTTAGATACTTCACCTCCTGTCTCTGCCAGAATATCTTTTGTTGAAGATCCATAACCTTTTGTTCTTTGGTTGTTCCTTCAAGTTCACCACACTGTAAAGCTTTTCTTAATCCATTCTCCAATACAGACAGCTCCTCCATCTCTTTATACAGCGTCGCCGTGACGGTCACGTACCTGTCCAACTTCTTGGTTTTGGCTTCCATGTCTTTCCAACTCAAGACCCAACAATTAGAATCATGCCCCAAGTTGGCAAACTCATCGAACAAACTTTCGAAACGACGCAAACTCGAGTCCTCACACCTCTTGCTTAACCTTGAAACAGACTTGGCCACGAGCCTAAGGTTCTCAGCCATCTCTGCACACGCGAGGCCGAGAAGGAATGACTCATCATTTGAGACTATTTTGCGTACCCCTTCAAGAGAGATGGAATCATTGCGCACTCGAATTATGTTCTTGTCTGAAAGAGATTGCCAAAGATGGAAAAGCTTTGACATAAGACCTGCAGTTTCGAAAGCTAACACTCCAACCGAAGATTTCTTTGATGGTTTTGGGATTGGATTGGAGGTTATGACTGAATCAAAACTATGAGATATTGCTGTTTTTACCTTTATTAGCCAGGTCTCAAGAGCCATATTGTTGATCAATATTCTTTATGTATATTGTACAAAAGTAACAAAAGGCTAGATTTATTATATAGCTAGATAGGATTGATGAGGAGAAGTTGGTGTGTGCAAAACAAGAAGAAAAAAAAAAAAAAAAAGAGAAGTTGGGGTTTGAGAGAGGAATCTAGAGAGGAAACAAAAGGTAATGGGAGAGGAAATAATTCAAGAATGGGAGTCGGAGATCAGAGATAAGGATTATAAAAGAGGAGAGCATGAAGGTTATTGTATTGCAAAGGGGTGTGTGTGGCTTGTGGATTTGAGACCATTACAAATAGCATAGAAAATTGTCTAACAAGAGAGAAAATAAAAAATTAAAAAATAGAACAACGCACAGTCACACACACATAAAATTAATTTTAATTAATTTTTTACCCAAAAAAATCAAAGAGATAATAAAATATGCAACATCCACATGCAAGGACAGTGAGTGAAACATGTTTTATTGAGATGTATTTTGTCTTTTATGGGTTTGGACTTAAGGGGATTTTGAAGCGAATGGAGGCTTGAGTTATGGGTTTTTTCTTTCTTTTTTTTTAGAAAAAAATTAAATAGATATTATCAAAAAATAAAATATTTTTTGAAAGAAAATAATATTAAATTAAACATAATTAACATTAATTGAATGATTAAATAATTAATTTTTTAATAAAAAAGACTAATTAACGTATTTCTAAAAAGGCTAATTATTTACTTTCTTAATTAGGAGGTTAAAAACAAAAGAAAGAAAGAGAAGTTTTGTTGTGTGCCAAGAAGCACTTTTTCTCCTAAGATGCTTTTTTTTCCTCCAAAACGAAGCATGGGGGCCATATCATTATGTGTTTTTTTCCTTTTGAACTTTTATGAGGTAATCTTTCTTGTTAATTAATATGCTCGTTCCGTGTGAATTATTAATTCTACAGCTAAAAACTTTGGACACAATAGGAAAAGAAAGAAAAGATCAAGAACCTAGTGATCTGATGGATTTATTGGCATCATGATAGTGTTTTCAAAAAGAAAAATGTTATCAAAATACTATTTGAATTGATTGTTCATGTACTTGACGTAGACAAATACCAAAAACCACCGATATTGTTGATGATAGCACTAATAATCTTCCAATGGCTTCCAATAAGATCGTAGATCTTTGGTTAGATTGTAACATCATATCAATTAGGCACTTATCTTATTTTTCACAAAAAAAAAAAAAAAAAAGTTGTTGAATTTCTTGTTTCATTTACTATGGTGAAATCTTTAGGAGATAAATTAATTTCATGTAATTCCCTAAAAAATAATAATAAGAAAGATAGCATGATTTGTTAATTTATGAGAACTAATGTGAATATAAATCTAGCACAGCCAGCCTCGCTAGCCGGTTAGCGAGCGAGGATCAAAAAGACAACACTCCTTATGAGGATTTAAGAAAAATCTACATAATATTGGGTTAGATGTATAGGCCTATTAGACCTTTTTTTTATATAACCCTAATTATCCACACTATAAATAGAGGCAACATCATTTTTATTTGTAGCCGTCACTTGATAAAATCTAATAAGAAATTCTAGTATAGCCATAAAGTAGACACAATTTTTGAATCACGTAAAATATTTATATTGTGTGATTGTTCTTATTTATTCTACTCTATTATTTTGCTTGATTCGTTTCTAACATGATTAACCAATGAGATATCACAATTACATGCTTCAATTTTTGGCCCATCTCTATTTGCAAATGTTTAAAATTTAACTTTGAATCTTTGACAATATTCTTGATATTTAGTTCTGGTGATAAGTGAATTTAATTCTTGAATTATTATTATAGAATTAAAATTCAATAAAGGTCATAAAAAATATTATCTTTTTTTTAAAGAGATTGTTTCCTTTTATTTTTCATATAAATAAAGAATATTATTTATTCATATTTTCAATAATATTTTTAAAAAATAATTGTATTTGGATAATTTTTTGCAAAATAGATTTTAATTTAAAATATTTTAAGAAATTATATAACTTAAAATTTTTGCAAAACAAGTATTTTACGAAAAATATAAGTAAAAAGGCAAATGATGAGACATAAGGAGTAATTTCTTGTTATAAATGCATAAATCCCGAATTCTTCATCTGAAAGAGAAACTTAACCTGTTTTATAAAATAGACTTAAAGATACCATGAATATTGCTAAAAAAAATCTAAAAAAAGCAAATTAATCCCATCTCCAACCTTGAATAAATAAATGAATGTTGACTTTTTTTTGTCTATATATCAAAGTGCCAATGAATGATGACATTCTGCATGCACTGAGATAAAAATAAAAATAAAAAATGAAAATAATCCCATGCATCATAAATTGGTCTGCCTTCACACCATCGTGGAGTTTTAAGTTCTCAATAAATGAATATAATTTAGAACAAGTGGTGCAATTTGGTCTAAATTGCCGTAGCCCTTTGATAAATGATCAAGCAAATAGGCCATGAAGGATTCAATTACCAAAAATTACAGCATTGCCAAATATCTATAGCAATGCATCTAGACACACCATTAGCAGTGACAATCTTTTGAGCATAGCTTTTTAGAAAAACACACTGCTAACAGTCAATTTTCTGTAATTGGTATAAAGTATGTTTCTTTGCCCCTTCACTTGTCAAAGCTTAATTATTAGACATGTCTACATGTTAGGGCATGCATGCATATAAAGTAAGAAAATGCTCAAATTCTTTATATATATATATATATAATAGTGAATTTAATTACCGATCAAAAACTAAGTATGTTTTGAAGCTAATTTAATTCAATATATATATAGTCTCTTTATTGGTATTGGGTTTACGCTCATTTGGTCTAATAGTAAATTTAATGGTCGATCAAAAACTTAATTTAATTCAAAAAATGATGGAATTAATTTTGATAAAAAACTAAGTATGTTCTGACGCTAACTTAATTCAAGAAGTCATGAAGTTAATTTGGATTGATGTAAAACTAAACAAAAAATATCACACTACTTATAAATATTAAAAAAAAAAATCTGGTATATCTATTGAGAGGAGATTAATTAGCTAGTCAAAGTAGACATTGCTTTGTAAGCACTGTACTTGAAAACAACTGTGCATCTTTCACTAACCAATTTGATGATTTTGAATATAGTAAAAATAGTGTAAAATAGTAAAATTATTGGGTTCAGATGGCCACTTGACAAGTTGCGTAAAAATTTCTGCCATCAATATGGATCTTGCATTCCATTTGGGAAAATGCAGTAAGTGGGTGTGCTTTGATTCCGACTAGAAGTTAGGGTTGACTAATGGATGCATGAGGTATAGAGATGATTCAAGACATAGTAACATGGAGCTACTATATATTCTAGCGTCTATTGGCTTATTTTTTATTTTTTTATTATATGATAAATAATTATATTTTATATCAATCAAAATTAAATTTTATTTCAAACAATCTTAAAATTATATCATCTATATTGATATGATACATTCAATGGATTTTTCTGAAATCTATTGATTGCTTAATAGCCTCACTTAAACTAAAAATTAAAAATAAAACTCGTAATCATTGTAAAACTATCAAACCATTATTTAAAAACAACTTATGATTTTCAATTGAATCTACAAAATCAACAGTTTAACAATCCAAAATGAATTGAAAATTAGAAATAAGACTCGCCATAAAAAATTTAATAAATTTTTCTGAACATTGTTTTTTTTTTAAAGGATAATATTAGCATTACTATGGGTGTGGAAGTATGGATTTAATTAGAAAACCCCACTTATCATTCACATCACATGGTGAGTGTTGGGTTGGTGCATTTTTTGGGGTCACCAAAAAAAAAAAATAGAGCTCAAAGGGAGAGTAGAGATTGGCTTTTGACATTTCTTAAATTGGAGCGAGAGTTTCACTTGATATTCAAAAGTTGTTTCTTTTCAACCTCTGCCTTTCTAGCTTTTGCCTACCAATGGAAAGGCAAGGAACGATATGCTTGTTTACTTGTCGGAGCATGAACAGGCAGCCATGTTACATTTCCATATCTTGATAAACGTGCCTCTAAACTAATCGAGTATGGTAAATATCACTATCTTTTTCTTTCACTTGTTTTGTTTATTCTCATCCCTGTTCTGTCACCAAACCTTGACTGATCTCCCACATGATCTTCTGCAAAGTAATTCCTGCTATATAAACGTAGGAGGAACAAAAATAAAACGGGGCCCAATAAAATATTAGAATTTTGTATTGTTTACTATCACACCAAGACTTTGTATTGTTAATTTGATCAATTATATTTTTATACTATCGTTTTTAGCTTAAGAAGTCAAACTTTGATTGATGAACCGATCCTATCCTCATAAAATATTAGAATTTTGATATCAAAAACGAATGAAAGTTCAATCTACTTTCAAAAAAAATAAAATTTGTTTTAGGTTGGAAATTAGTATTTTCTTTATTTTCTAAATATTAAAAATTTATTGAACTTTTTTAAAATAAAAAATAAAATGGAATGGTTCCAAATTTTGGGGAGGAGCCCAAGAAAATCACACATGAAGTTATGCAGATAATTTATTTTAGTATGATGCTCAAAATATTTACATGTGTAGTTCTTTAAACTAACTTATTTTAACCACTCGAAAACAATGCAAATAAAATTACAAAAAATTTTTAAGTCCTCAAACAAAATTTTGGAGTATTTTCTATTTCTTCAATTCTATATTTAATTTTCAGAAAATTTAAAAATACTTGCGAGCTTTAAAAATAATAATTCGAAAACACAATTGATTAAATTGATAGTACAAGTTTCAAGGTGCCATAACCTCAATAGTTATGGGGCAAAAAAAATATCATTAAATCCAAAAAAGAACTATTACAAGATGAAAAAAAAAAAAAAAAGAAGGGGAGAATAAGATAATTTTGAGTAATTCACATGTTAGTTAATTAGTGATATTGTAATATTGGGGACACCTTCTAAATTACATTGTTCTATGCTTGTGTAGCAATATT